GTCCTGCCCACGCCAGCCACCCGCCCAGAACCCCCGGCATCTCGCCACAGCCTAGCCCCTGAGAAGGTCGGGGTTTGAAACAGCAGAGCCCTGCGACACCGCCTTCGTCCCCGTGGCTGGTGTCCACCGGCACGGCCATTACTTAGGCCGTTCGGGTTACTAAGTAGCTTGAATATCACTTCGTCCATGTTTACATATATTCTCTGCAACCACACGATTACATATTGTTTCACATGGCAACGCGGTCGTCGTCTACAGGCAGCTTTTCGTTTGTTTTGGGCGATCGCTGTTAGATTACACACAGTTTCCCGAGTCGTTTGCAGCCTTAACGCGTGGCGTGCTGGGCAGTGGGAGGCACCGCTCCGCACCGAGGAATCGAGTCGCCAAGTCGCTCCCCCCGTTTGGCACTGACGTCAGAGTTTTCCACTCGTCTGTAACGCTTCAGTCGGTATCGTCATGCACGTGGTATTTTTGTCGTTTCGAATTCTTTTTTTAGATGTCACGTATTTTGTTTAAATGACAGGTCAGAAAACTGAACTCACTGGTATCTGAAAAGAAGTCCGCCCTGGCCCCCGTCATAAAAGAGCTGCGGCAACTGCGTCAAAAATGCCAAGTAAGTGAATTTGACTTAGTGGTCCTCATAGTGTTTTACCTCATTGGGTGTGCTCATTAGAACCCTGAATCTTTTACTTGGGTCACTTATAGGAAACAAATCGCTGTTAATATTACTATTAGTATATTGATAGGATTCTGCAGAAGAGGGTCATGGTGTGACCTGCCGAGGTTTCTCCCCTGGTTACGCGCCTTGCTTTCCTCGGCTCTATTTTCTGGTTCCTTCTTTTCTCTCCTGAGCTGTGTCCAATCTCATGTTGATGCCGGTCCTTGGTTTCTCATTTCAGTGACAGTTACGCTCATTTCTGTTTTATTTCTGCTCACAGTCCCTGTTTTAATCTTGTTTTCACTTCTTCATTTATTCTCAGCGCACTTATTAAATAGGTTATTTCTGGGATCCCGAGTTTCTGGAGGGCGAGCCCTGCTGTCTGCGTTTCTGCCGATTCTCACGCATAATGGATTGATTGTTTCCCTCTGTGTTTATGCTCTTGGGTTGTGAGCTTCTCTTGAGGTTTTGTCTCCTGAGGGTGTGTCCCTCCAGACTGGTTTTGCAGTCGTTCTGCCAGGTGTCTCAGGAGTATCCCAAACGGGGAGCTAATTCTGAGTTAATGTCCCAGCATGGGAGCTCCCCGACCCTGCAGGTCGGTCAGTCAAACCCCAGACGTTCCCGAACTCAGGCCCCTTTTTCCCATTCGCCTCTGCTGCACTTGTACAGCGCGTTTACTGATCAGTTTGGCCGTCGGACTCACACACCCAAAAAAGGCTTCATCTGCTCACCTATGTTTATCCCATCGAGAGGCCCCGGCCTCTGTGGCCCCTTCTCCCCATGAGGGTGGGCGGGACTGTCACCAGCGAGAGCCTCCGGTTCCCTTCAGCTCTGGACTTGAGGGGGTGTTTGCTCTACCTTACCAGGCATCTGTAGGCACTTTCAGCATTTCTAGGTGTCTGTAGTAGATTTCAGGTTATCTAATTCAAAATACCCCATTAGAAGAAGGTTTGAAGCTACTCAGACAGTCTGAGTTCGAACTCTGATACCTTCCCAGCAGCATCGTCTGTGCCGGGTACTAGCCCCCTGACCTTCCTCCAGTCGTGATGTGGGGAGATTAGCACCTAAAGGACTTGCTGTGAGGCTGCGTTACTATCAGGGGTGCAGCTCAATCGCCCGGCCGTGGTTTGCAGAGTCCTGATCAGGCCCCTGCCAAGGCCTCAGCCTCTTCTCACGCTTCTCGACACCCGGCGTGGTCAGCTACGTGCACGTGCCAAGTTGTCCTCAGCTTCCAGCCTCTAGACACTGTTCCTTCTTCTGAACCTCCGTAGCTGCTTACTAAGCCTCGTACCCCAATTTAGATATCACTTTCTCTAGGAAGCTGTCCCCACTGCTCCCCAAGCCTGGGTTAGGTCCAGTGAGCGTCCCGGGTGCTCCTGAGTCGCCCGTCGCGGCCCCAGCAGCCCGTTTACTTGTGGAAACTACTTGAGGGGAAGGGTTTGGCTGTTTTGTTCACTGTTGTATCCCTGGCTCCTGACCAAGAGCCTGGCACTCAGCTCAGTACATGGTAACTATTGTTTTTATCAGCACCTCCACCTGTCGTAATTCCCGAATGTCTAATTGTTGCATAAAGAACTCGTAAGCGCACCAAGGAGCTTTGGGTTCAGTTACAAGACTAACACGGGCACGCTCTGGGTTCCAGCCGCATTTTAGGCTTTGTTCTCACGGTTTCACTTGTCTTCACTTTACCCTTTTGATACCAGGAGCTAACCCAGGAGTGTGACGAAAAGAAAGCCCAGTATGACAGCTGTGCCGCAGGCCTCGAAAGCAACCGGTCCAAGTTAGAGCAGGTGAGAAGGCCGTTTTCATTTTGGCAACCGAGCGGCCGCCGCCTGTGTGCAGACCTGGCCACACCAGTGCCAAAGGTTCCTGAATCTTTTCCCTCATCCCGAGTCTCTCCCAAGCTCCAGAGGCCTCGACCTCCCCAGACTTGGTATGTGCACCCCGAGTTCTCCATCCGCACCAGTCCCGCCAAGCCCAGGCCCCATCGAGTCGCCTGGAGTCCCCTCGTAACCCGCCGCCTGCCTCCCACGTCCACTCTCCCCTCCTGTGGTTGGTTCTCCAAAGAGCAGCCAGAGGAGCCGGAGTAAAGCCTAGGCCCCCCAAGTTAGTTAAAGCCCAGCTTCCAAACTGCGGCCTGCCAGGCGCCACCTGGTCCCGGGGCTCCAGCCACACCTGCTCCCCGATCCTCTGCCCCAGCTCTGCTTTCCTCTCCCCTTTCCACCCTCAGGCCTCAGCCTAAACGTCGCCTCCTCCTGAGGCCTGCGTCCTCTGACCCCCAAGGCTGCCCAGGCGGCCACCTGCCACCTCCTCCTGCCGCACTTTCCCGCCCCCCCGGACAGGGGCCTGCGGTGTGTGTCCCGTCTGCCTGGCTCCCTTCTCGGGAGAGCAGGGGCTTGTTCACTCCTGTGTGCGCAGCACCTGGCAGCCGGGCACGCTAGGCGCTTCCTAAGCAAGGAGCTGCGCGCGGTGCTAGGGCCCGATGCACGGTCTCTGGGAGAGACGGCGGCCTGGCCTGTTAGAGTGACCGG